GTGCTGCTGCATGAGCACGGGGCCATGAGCATCACACTGAGCACTGCTCCATCAGCACCGTGCCGTGAGCCGTGTACCGTGAGCACTGCACCGTGAGCACGGTGCTGAGCACTGCTCCATCAGCACTGTGCCGTGAGCACTGGGCCGTGAGCCCCGTACCGTGAGCACGGTGCTGAGTGCTGCTCCATGAGCACCGCGCCGTGAGCACTGTACCGTGAGCACGGTGCCGAGCACTGCTCCATGAGCACTGCTCCGTGAGCACTGTGCCATAAGCACGTGCCGAGCACTGCTCCATGAGCACTAGGCCGTGAGCATTGTGCCGAGCACTGCTCCGTGAGCACGGGGCTGTGAGCACTGCGCCGTGAGCACTAGTCCATGATCCCCACGCCGAGCACGGGGCCGTGAGCCCCGTGCCGTGAGCACGGTGCCGAGCGCTGCTCCATGAGCGCTGCTCCATGAGCGCCGTGCCATAAGCCCTGCACCACGAGCACTGCACCAAGCACTGCGCCATGAGCGCTGCACCGTGAGCACCGCAACAGCCAATGTACAAAGCACCAGCACCAGCAGCGTGGGGCAGAGCGTCGCTCCGGTCTGGCCTCGTGTGGGGCCAATTCCCAATGCAGGGAGCAGCCACGCGCGGGAATCCCGGCACGGCCGGCACCCTGTCCTTTCCTGGCCACACGCTGCATCAGGGTGCAGGGTTGCGCTGGGGATACGGGCAGCGGTGCCACGCGGCCTCCCCAGCGCTGGGCATCACCAGTGCGGATGCAAGATCCCACTTGCATCTTCCTTGCAAAGCTCTGCATGGAAAGGGGGATGGAGGGCGGTGGTGGCGGCGCCTGCTCCGTCCCCTCGCGGTGCCGCATCCCGGGACACGGCCTCGTCCTCGAGCCTGCGGCCTCCCCCCAGGCCCCCCCAGGACATCAGCCTGGAGGAGTTCGACGACGAGGACCTGTCGGAGATCACGGACGACTGCGGCATCGGCCTCAACTACGACTCGGACCACTACGAGAAGGTGCGGGCGGTGGTGGTGCCTGGTGCGGCACGCGCCCAGGGCCGGCTCGGTGCCGTGGGCAGGGGCTGCGCCGGTGCCGGTGCCGGTGCCGGTGCCGGTGCCGGGCTCAGCCGCGCGCTCCCCGCAGGACTGCCTGGCGCTGGAGCGCAGCGAGCAGCCGCAGCCCGTCTGCACCTTCCAGGATGACTTCCAGGAGTTCGAGATGATTGACGACAACGAGGAGGAGGAGGAGGTGGAGGAGGTGGAGGAAGGGGAGGAGGGCGCGGGCGAGGGCACCGGCCTGGAAGCGCCGCCGTCGCCCTCGGCCTCGCCCATCCCCTCGCCCGCTGCGGAGGAGACGCAGAAGCACCGGCCCACGACGCTGAACCTGACAGCGCCGGGCACCCAGGTGAGCCGCGGCCGGCGGGCGCGTCCCCGCGCCACGGGGCACCCGTGGGCAAAGGGGACCCGTGTCCCCGTGTGCGGAGCGCTCTGGGGAGCGCCTGGGGCCCTGGGGGTGTCTGCATGGGTGGGGTGTGCGGTTCTGAGCACTGCCCGCTCAGTGCATGGCGCAGCGGGGCTGTGTGCAAGGGGCTGTGCACGGCATCGAGTGCTGTGCGTGCGCGTGCAAGCGTGCTCATGTGTGTGCAAGCGTGCTCATGTGTGTGCAGCGTGTATATGCGCACTGTGCATACATGCACACATGCGTATGCAAGTGTGCGTGTGCAAGTGTGTAAGCATGTGTGTGAACACGCATGTGTGTACATGCAAGTATGTAAGGGTGTCTGCATGCACATGTGTGCACAGCGATGTGTATTTATGTGCAAACACCCATGTGCGTACAAACGTGTATGTGCACAAGTATGCATGTGTGCAGTCATGCATGTGTGTATGCATGTGTGTGTGAGCATGTATGTGTGTGTGCACAAGTGTGCATGTGTGTGCAAGCGTGCACATGTGTTGTGCAAATGTGCATGTGTTGTGCATGTGTGTGCAAATGTGCATGTGTGCACAAGCATGCATGTGTGTGCAAACGTGCAGGTGTGCGCAAGCATTCGTGTGTGTGCAAGCGGGTGCAAGCGTGCATGTGTGTGCATGTGTGTGCAAGCGTGCATGTGTGCGCAAGCATTCATGTGTGCGTGCAAGCATGCAGGTGCGTGCAAACATGCATGTGCGTGCAAGCGTGCCCGCGTGTGCCCCTGCTGCGTTGCTGCGCCTGCAGCGCGGGGCTCCGCGGCGCTGCCGCAGGGCGTCCCCGCGCCTCGCGC